TGAGGTACAGTCAATCCTTCTATGGAACAAATGTACGATTGCATATTAGCTGGTGATGACAGCTTTAAAGCAGGCCTCATTGCCCAAAAGGTTTATAGTAGATAACAGGGTTGGCTTCGGTGATCCAACGTTAACTTACCAGGTGTGAAATTTCCGTCTGTGAAAGACCACGTCCCACACATTTGCAGTTTCTGTTTAAAGCTCCACCCTCAATACCTTGCTCATTAGTTACACTTTTGCCTTTAGGGCACTTTTTTGCCTCTATTAGATAGTTTAAAGTAGATGGAGGCAATAAGGATGGAAAGGCAGGAGGGAAAGGATTCTGCTAAGAAAGCAGGATATTGCGATTACCCCTCTGACTAACTGACCAACTGGAATGCCACCCACTAGGGCTATTCAGACTGAATATAGCCCTCAGCAAATCACTGCAAGAGTCTTTGTTGGTGGTGTTGTGCTGCCAGTGAGAGAATATAAACCAGAAAACCCAGCTGAAAGGCTTGTTATGTAGTCAAGATATGCTGCATGAGCTTACATTAGACTCCATTAATGAAGGTTTGTGAAAGAATGGAGCGATCATGAGCAATAATTCTAAGGTAAAAGATAAAATTAAGAAAAGGCTACAAGCTTCACACTACAATGATCCAGGAAGTCCAGTGTAATACAATTCTGAAAAACGATCACACGGACAATAACATTATCTTTCATGGCGAATCAATGGCGATCGCGATACTGTAACTGGTTGCATATTTATTATTGCTATCTTGACTGCGGCGCCCTGAAAGTCCAGAAGTGATGCTAGAGGGGTACTTACAGAGTCATATTTTGAAGCGGAGGGCCACTGACGAAGCGTCAGTATTAGACGAGCGAGGAGTGCGAACCTGTTGCTGTGGGCCTCATTCAGTCAGCCTAAATAGGCCTTACGAGCTTTCTTTAGAGCTTTCAGCTACACACCCCATTGTCTTCATCAGCCCATGAGTTAGAAAGCAGCGCCTTTTGAGTTGAGAATATTATGTCACACATGCAGAGCCAAGAATGAATTTCCATGCTCAAATGGAAACAGCTTCAAGTGCTCAACTACAAAAGAAGATGCAACAAGAGATGATACTAAAAATAACTATTCCATTGTAGAGTAGTATAAAAGGAAGTATTTTTTCCTTTTTTGCTCTGATTACTGATCTCATTTGGTTACAAAAGGGACTTTTTTGTCATGCCACTGTAGCCCAAGGGAATGAGGGGAGATTGTGGTGGTGGTGGTTTAGTGTTCCACAGACTTTTGTTGGAAGAGATTGAACTTAATTGATGTTATTGCAGCTCCTACTGCTCCTATAGCAGCTACTAAAAGTGATAATTACTTAATGACTCTATAACAACTCCTAGAATATGTCATACTGTTGCATCACAAATTCCTGATAACTGATCTGATTTCTGTACACAACCCTGTGACTGGGAGGCATCATTAAGCCTTCCAATAGACACCAAGCCTATGATCAGATAACAGTCTTACACATTTAAAGGTCCACTGTCTCTTTGTCTGTGATTATTTGCTCAGCAGACAGAAGCCAAGGACTGGAGGGGACAGACTCACAGCATCCAAGTGAGCAGCGAATCGGGCACAGATGCCTGCTGACCATCCTAATAATTCCCACAAAGCTTGACCGGCAATGTTAAATTGGTTACTATTCCATATCTTGTGCTAACCTGGGAGCTAGTTACCAATTTCCCCCAAAAAAGTTTTTCCATTTTGAAAGGAAAGTTACTGTAGCTGGTGGTCATTGCTTCATATTTAATAACCAGATGATTACATTCTCTGAAATGACATCCTCTGACAGCTTCAAGAGAGCAAACAACTTCAGCAGGGTTTGATATGAGTTCCACTCACATGCCAGAAATAATTATGTCAGAACAGATGTTGTATTTTTCAAATGGCGCGTATGTCACTGAAGCAAATCTCGTCAAATTCAAACCAGGATCAAGCAAAATCAAATATCAATAGACACTTGTGGATAGTTTGCCAAACTGTTAGTTGTGCTGATTTTTTTTTAGCTTTTGATAGCAGTGTCTTCTTATTAACAGGACTTTGATGCATGCCTGTGCACACTCACACAGACGCGCTTCCCTCAGTCTCATTACAAATACAGACAGTGCTCTGTTGAGCAGATGCTCCTCAGTATGTACCACATCTCACACCTTTGAATAAAGGCTGGTGAAGGAAACCAACACCTCAGAAACCAACTGCAAATTGCTGGAGTGTGCCGATACCCTGAGTGCTTTCATGAAGTGGATGATAAGAGAGAATATATTAAAGCTTTTAGTCTTCTCCTTCTTCATTTCACAGCTTAGGGATTGCTGACATAACCTCACCCTCTTCCAAGGTGCATGGACATGGGGGGGGGGGAAACAAGTCTGAAGAGGTCAAAACTCCAGAAACACTTATTACACAGCAGAGTTGGTGGAGTTTCTCCCTTTTTTATATTTAACCCCACCCCCCCTTAGAAAAAAAATTAATTTTTTCCCCCATTATTTTTCCCTTTAGTCCCCTAGGGGCCAGGAGAATATATAAAAAAAAAAAAAAAAACAACCTAGCCCACCCTATTTTCTTTTCTTTTTTTTTTCCCCAAAAAAAAAAAATCACAATTTATATAATAAAACTTTTTTAAAATAAAAAATTAATTTTTTTTTTTTTTTTTAAACTAAAAAAATATATAAAAAAAAAAAAAAAAAAATTTTTTTTTTTAAAAAAAAAAAATAAAAAAAAATTTCTCCTTTTCTTTTTTAATTTTAATAATTTAATCAAAAAAAATAATATTTTTTAATTTTTAATTTTTTTTAAAAAATTTTTTTTTTTTTTTTTTTTTTTTTTTTTTTTTTTTTTTTTTTTTTTAATTTAAATTTTTTTTTTTTTTTTTTTTTTTTTTTTTAATTTAAAAAAAAATAAAATTATTTTTTTTTTTTTTTTTTTTTTTTTTTTTTTTTATTTTTAAAAAATTTTTATTTTTTTATTTATTTTTTTTTTTTTTTTTTTAAATTAAAATAAAAAAAAAATTTTTAAAAAAATTAAATAAATATTTTTTTTTTTTATTATAAATATTAAAAATTTTTTTTAAAAAATTAATAGTTTTTCCAGGTCCATTAGCTAAGAGTTACATCTGGGTGTAAATATTTACTAACAACTAATCTCAAAGGAACTAGCTTGTGTGGTGCAACCTGTTTTAATTGGTGACCACTCAGTAAACACTTAAATAGGCTGAGTTTGAACTTACAAAGAGTGGGTGTATGTTGGTGTTGCTCACTTTGCTTAACAAAGGAGGTTAGCAGCCAGGCAGAAGTGACAAACTTACCACCTGAAGCTGGATTCATTGCCCCCTGTAGGCCGAGAAGCTTGCAGACAGCACCCATCAGCAGAAATAAGTTTGGGCTAATGTGGTGAATCTATAGCGGACAGTCTCCTCTGTTACAGTTCAGACTGATAAGAGGGCTGCATTTTCGTTTGTACAGTACTGCCTTAATATGATGACTCCAAGCCGTCAGGTGTACTGTCTGAGGAAGATAGACTGCTCATTGCTGCAAGTGTTTCCTCACTCCAGGTTTTGTAATTAACTGTCAGCACCTTGAGCTTGACGATGTAATTGGTTCCTATGCTGCTTTAAACTCATTAAAGTTGACTATTTGAGAACTTGATTCGCGCCGTGTCCTTCAGAGAGACTGAAAAGGAAACGTTTGCCTCACTGCAGTGTTGGAGCTATCAGGAGCAAACCAATCCTCCACCGACGTGCGCAGGCAGTTAAAAAGACGACAGCTGAGAAGCTTACTGGGTCATCCTTCTCTAACAGTCAGATCCAGAACTGACTGGTCACAGGGCATTGGGTGGCACTGCTTTTCATCTATCACTGACAGATTTGACATCCTCCATCAGTGCGCTATATCACTTATTTTTGGACTTCACCACAGCCTGTCCAGAGGTGACATCTGCTGTACCAAACAAACAATTCTGAAAGTGGAGTGAATTCACGTCAGACCTGTCGGTTCTGTCATAAAAAAGGTTAAGAAGCCAGGCTTCTGCTGTTGGGTGTTAAATTTCTTCTTTTAAAGCCTGCATTAATTGTTTTTTTTTGTGCCCAGTTGGGGGCAGCGTAACAAGTCATAAACACAGATTGTTGCCCACTTACGCACCCAGCAGACACAGAGCAACATTAGCATTCATTTGGAGTTGTTTTTCCGTCCAATATTCAGTCTCCTTTTACCTGTTTGGTCTCCAGTAGCTCCTGAGAATCTGGCTTGTTAGCTACTAGACTAACGGATATTCCTTTCACTGAACTGATGCCTGTGAAAATGAATGCTATGCTACAGGTGGAATAACCAGAAGTCGCACCTATAATTCACGCAATGTATCACAGAGCTAGGAATAAGGTAAAACATTGTAGAGCTGAGGAAAACTGAGGAGAGTCTGGCTAAAATTCTGTGTTCTTGTCCCTAAAAGCAACACTTTTTACATAAGAGTCATTAAACACATTCTTAATATATATTAATTAATTAATATAATAGATATTGTATTATTGCTTAAAGTCACATCAGCAAGCAAAGCAGATCAGTGATTAACTTGCACAAGACCTTGACCTAAGGATCTGGGTCTCATGGTCTACAGTTCAGTTCACTTAAAGTTCTTTCTCATTCTGTGATTTTATGAACGGTCCAAAACACATTGCTAATTGAATAATTTCCACATAAATCTGTCCGGCAACTACAACAGATTGGCAACCATCTCAAGTGGCACCTGGAACATCTGGCATGTGCATCAACAAATCAACAGATCCCAGAGCCTTGAGACTGGAGCTCAGTGGGCTCTGCAGTCTGGAGGCTTGCTGTTACTCATTTCTGGCATGTTACTGTACTTGCCAGCCAATGTGACTGCATTTCTCCTTTCTCTCTCTCTCTCTCTCTCTCTCTCTCTCTCTCTCTCTCTCTCTCTCTCTCTCTCTCTCTCTCTCTCTCTCCCCCACAAGTGTACAGTGGCCTGACGTTGAGCCAGAGAGGATAGGGAGCCACAGCGGCAAGGACGTGATGTAGAGTTTCATCAACGCCTCCACTGCTCCTTATTCTCCATCAGAAATTCAGCTTTTTTTTTTCTCGGCTGGATTACAAGAATGACAGGTGATGTAAGACCACAAGATCACACTTATATATGTTTTATTCTTCTTTCAGCACGACAGTTGATTAAACACCATAGGGAGTAGTGCAGACTAGTTTTAATGTTACACTTTAATTTGTCAAAAGCAGAAATAAAAATCATGTTTAGATCATGAAATAGAAACATGAAATCAAAGGAATAACCCTAGTTAAAATATAAATATAAAATTGCAGCAACTTCTTTTATTATTCATTGATGATCATGGGATCATGTTGTTGAAAGGTCACCAAGCGAGCAAACTAGATTAGCTAGATAGCTGTGGGCTAATATGGCTGGCCTGAACTTAAAAGGACTGCTGTATATAGCAGCAGAGCTCCAGGCTTCATAATATAAGCTTTCTGCTCACTGATGTCATCCATTTTTTTTTTAGGTTCGGTCTAGAGTTAGGCTGATCAATACCCCAGGTATCAATACTATCAATACTAACTCTTGTTTTGAGTGTCTGTATTCACTATCAATAGGACTGATATGAAAATGAATCTGTCTCTCCGCTCTGTCTGTATCAATAGAGCAGCAAACAACGGCCTGTTGTCATCTTTTGAAGTTAGATCACGTTCTGGGTACGTGAACACACTTCTCAGTGCATGATCTCTCTAATATGTGCAGCTACAGCATCACCTCATTAGCTCAGAGAAGACACGGGTAGTTTCTGGGCTGTGTGAACAAAGGAGGACAATCATTTGGACTCATCTCACTTGCACGCAATGGAATAATTATCAAAGAAATACACTTATTTAGTTTCTTGCTGCCACACTCATGTTTGTATGGTAAACATGAAGCTACCGCCAACAGCCGGTTAGCTAAACCACACTTCTTCTTGGGCTCTGCTGGTTGCCTGCACACTACACAGTGACAACAAGAAGTAGTCGCACATAACCCCCCGTTAAAAGTAATTTTTATTAAAACAAACGAGATATAACATGTTAAGAAGTGCGCTTTAGAGGTTCCGCTAGGTGGATTTTGTTAGCTTACGGCACAGCCTGGCTAACTGTTTCTTCCCGTCTCCAGTGTTTAAGCTAACCAGCTACCAGCTACTTCATATTTAGCATACAGCAGTTTTTTCTCAAACTTTTTCTGGTGTTCTTCACCCCATAATTTTTGTCAAACATTAACAATGATAGGGTAAGCAACTAATATAAAAGGATCCGAGTTAAAGTTTAGTGAAATAAAGGTCCGCATCAGCCAACTCTGTCTATTTTCCCTACATAAATCATATTCATTCAACTTAGTTTCACTCCATGTTTTTCTTCTGGTAAGGAGGACCCGTCCCACAGTTTAGGAACCATTGGACATGCTAGTGGTATCAATCTTCTCATCTTAATCTTTCCAAGAATGCAAATTACTTGTTCGGCAAATAATTTGCTGTATATGAAAATGTATTAGGAAGTAGTAGTATCAGTGAGGCATCCGCATCCTAAATCAGGACACATTATTCTTCCCAACATGGTAGCACGGAACTTCTATAGTAAAGTATTGTGTTTTGGTTAAATCAATAACCAAATTGCCCTAGTTCTCTTTAAAGTTACTTTAACCTGCATTACGGATTTTTTTTTTTACCACTTGATGACATATTATCCTCTTATAAAGTTGGTATGGCTAATGGTTACCTACTGTATTTATACATCCAGCAGACACAGAGCAAGATTAATGTTCAGTTGGAGTTGTGTTTCAGTCTACCTGGCATATTCCCATCCAATATTCACTTTGCTTTTAGCTCTGTTTTGGTCCTGAGGAGAATATCTGACTCTTTAACTGCTGAATGCTCCTCTGTGTAAAAAAGTTATGGACATAAAACCAAAACAATAAGCTGAAGGATGCTAAAATGCTCCGTAGTTGGATCATAATTCCCTTCCATTTTTTCCAGTGTTAATATAAAAACATTGACTTGTGCAGCTTCAACTAGAAAAAGCGATCCAGGCTCCACCGTCAGTGAGATCATTTCTGCCTCTGAGAGATGTTTGCAAACTGTTTTTTCCTGCTGCCTTTTTCGTTTCTCCAGCTCTCTCTCCCTTCCTCTGTTTCCGTCTCTCTCTCTCCCTCTCTCACCTCATATCTCCAGCTGTCGCCTGGTAGAATGTAAATGAGCCTCTCAGCACAGGGCCTGTGATGGTGTCAGCCCTCTCCTTAGTCTCTGGTCTCATTAGAAGCCTAGTGTAGCTGACATTTACCCAGCCGCTGTGTTGACTAGCTCTTCATGCGGGCCATATGGGTCAAAACAATACACAGTGAAACTTCAGCAATCCAAATCTCTTTGGGAAGGAAGGTCGCTGGAGCTTGTGAGATGACTGGATGGCGACTAAAAACCGTTAAAATGTCCAAAAAAAGGCCTTGAAATGTAAAAAAAAAAAAAAAAAAAATCAATCCACATTCCTTTCTTAATGACCCATGTGGTCTAATTTGAAGTGAAGTTAAAAATCTAAAGCACTGCCATTCATGCGGTCCTGTGTCCTTGCTGTATTGTGTGTACTGTTGGCCTCTGTTAAGTTGTCAGTGCACAAATGTCAGCAGGACAGATTCCTGGCAGCTGAACTAATTAAGATTCTGAATTAACAGCAAACGCTCAACATTTTTCAATTCTTTTTGTCTGCACAAATGCACCAAAAATCTGAAATTGCCACGGTCGTTTTTGCACAATAACCTGTGTGATTTTTACACATTATTCTGCCAATTGATAATGTCCTCTTAATAATATAAAATTTGCTTTGATTTTGGTGAACAACAGCCATCTCCTGAGTTAGCTCTGTGAGTTTGAAATTAATAGGATGGCCACAGCTATTTCCTGACTCTTCTTCCTCTTGGGATCCTGCAGCTCTGTTTTTCTGCGGTCCTCTCATCCTGTTACTAATGCCTGACTCTGTGTAACCCTTATCTCCATGCTCACTACATGGCCTGATAGGGCTCTGTGTGTAAGCAATTAAAACGGCTTATTTGCCAGATAAGTGAGGGAGAGCGGTCAGATTGAAAGCCACAGGCTGCCAGTATCAGGTCTTTAGGTTACAGCCCCCGGGTTAAATAGCCCGGGGGTGCAGAGTGAGCCAAGCGAGGCGTACAGCTCAGTGTGAGTGTGTGTAGGGGCTGAAACTCTGCCAGAGGGAAACATACACACAAGGTATGTGTGTGTTTTCCACATAACCAACATACACTGAAATTAATATTTAACCATCATCATAAATAAAGATGGGGGGGGGATACAGTAGAAAATATACCATCCTGTGTTCAAAAGCTGTTCATATGTTTGTGGATTTACATAGCTGTGCATGGATAGAATATATTCATATTATACATTCTTGTCTAATGAACAAAACAAATTCTCTGTGAAGTACTTCGTGTCTGTACATCAAAGCCTGTTCCCACATCTGATTGCTAACAGGCAGACAGGTGCCATATGATCTCAACACACTGTATTCAGGGTTGAAACACAGGAAAAACTTGCTTTAAAGGTCCAGTGTGTAACATTTGGGAGGATCTATAAGCAGAAATGAAATATAACATTCATAGCTATGTTTCCTTTAGTGTACAATCACCTGAAAATAGGAATTGTTGTCATTTCGTTACCTTAGAATGAGCTGTTTATATCTACAGGCGCCACATGTCGCCTGCAATGGAGTCCGCCATATTGAACCACCATGTTTCTACAGTAGCCCATTAAGGACTATAACCACACTAAATGCCACTAAATCCCACACACTGCTCCTTTAATATCATAATAAAACTAATCACTACACAGATGAACTTACTGCTCTGCTGGTCATATTGGAGGCATCCAGCTTAAAGTTTTATAGCTGCATTTTCCTTCCCTATTTGCTACTTTGTGCACCATTTACTTTCTGGCATTTTGTTCTTCAGACCAAATGCACAACCTCAAAAAGTTAATGCAAGGTTGTGCAGCAAACCAGGATATTACAGACCAACATTTGATCATTCAGAATAATCATTTTCTAACATAGTTTGCCCTTGGATCTTCTATTTTCTACCATGCTTTAGATTTTATAGGTAGGTACCGAGTGTATAAAATTATGTAACAATTCTGCTATATTCTGTGCCAGAGTTTCAGTGGACGAGCATTGTGGAGGTCAGAGTAAGGGTCAAAGTTTATTTTGAATCAATTTAAACCTAGTGGAAAATCATCAGTAGCTCTCTCCACTGGAAATAGTGTGCTACAGTGTAATGTTGAACCTACACCATTTTTTTAATTTTTTTTTTTGTGAAAGAACAGAAAGGGGATGATATGCAGCAAGGGCCACAGGTCAGACTTGAACCCACGGCCACTGCAGCAAGGACTTTATCGTATGAGCTACCATGGCATTTTTGCTATAGTTCACACAGTTCAATGACTCCTTTGCATTTGATGCTAAATAATGATTTTATTTATCATTTACTCACCATTGAGTAAACTGTTGAGTGTTCTTATCTGAGGAAGTCAACAGCTAAGTCTGTCAATATTCCATATTCTGTCAAAAAATACCAAAACTAACAAGGAATTTGTCTCACTATTAAACAAGTGTTCTCTGTGGAGCCAAAAGCTTCTTCCTCTCTGAATAGACCACCATAGAGCATTATTATTATTATTATTATTATTATTGTCCAAAATCTGTTCATAATGAGCCGCAGCATTGCAGTGAATGACATGTTCCTTCATTATAATGAACATAAACACTGTAGTTTATATTTATAGACACCATCCAGCTGCAAAAAACCCTGACTGGAGAACCAAATTTGTATTAACCGGCTGTTGAAACATTATTCCCTTTTACAAATTCCCTTTTACAGCTATGAGTAATACTACAGTTCCCAGCTGTTTTAGGAAGTTACTGTTTAAAGATTTATGGTAACGAATTAGCTTGAAGCTGAGGGCCACAGACAGGGAAGGGAAGTTGAGTCAGTGAGCATACTAACTAACGTAGCGTATTTAGTATTAATATCATTGTTATCTCTACATGAGCCTGCTGGGTAGCTGGCTATCCTGTCAGCTCATTTCCTTATTCTTTTTCTATTTTTTCTATTTTTATTGTTAACCAATCATCGTAGTTCCGGGCGAGTTTCACCAATCATAGAAGCCCTCCACGCAAAACATTGAGCCATACATCACCAAGCTACTAGTGATTTTATTCTCACTGGAACAAGAAGCCTTCGATTTTTTTATGAATTCTACAAAAATAAATGCAACTATTTTTGCAATTTTCATTTTCTCCTGCAATTCCAATGCAAAGAAAGCATTGCAACATGCATCGCAGTTTTTTTTGTTTTTTTTTAGAAAAGCTGCCATGAAATCAGATATTTTTGCCCACAAAATCCTGAAGGGACTGCAAAGGAGAAAAAAAGACAGAGAGGCAAAAAAAAAAGAAATAATCCTGCCAAAACCAAACCAGCATAAGAAAGAGAAAAAAAAGAATTGTCAGCTTATATTCTGTCTGATTGTAATAGAGCAGACAGATCATCACCCTTTTTGACGATTAAAAACAGTAGCCAACAATAGCCTCAATGAGAATGAACAAATAACAAGAACAAATCTATTAAAACACAATAGAACAAAATAAGAGTATTGTTAGGAGACAACATGGGAGATACAGGAAATCACTAACTGAAATTGCGGTTTACAACGCATCAGATGGACTAAACGAAGGTTAACACGCTCACAGGAAACTACATTCTGAAAGAAATCTACCACATCTGATAACATTTCAAATCTACAAACGGTACCTAATAGTTCTTTTTTTTTTCTCGAGCTCACTCATTATCTTTAGGAGCACCACAACGGCTGCTGCTTGCTGGGAGATTTGCTCACAGAGCAAACATGTATAGAGCGGAGAAAGAGGGGGGAAAAAAGCAGCAGTAGCAGAGTCTGCTTTCTGAAGACATCACGGCGGAGTAACGGAGAAGACTTCGACCTTGGCTGTGACCTGAACAAACTGTAATGAGTTCTGAACTTCTGCCTCAGCTCAGTATTGTTGTGGTTTTCAGAGTGCTGAGAGCTGGTAAACAGGATATTGAGTCCCAGATGGGTTTGGCTCACATCATGAAAGTACTGTAGGCCCACAGCTCTGCACAAACCATCAGCCATCGGAATGAAACGGACGGAAGGGGGGTGGGTGGGAGAGAGGAGAGGAGAGGGGAGGGGAAGGGGGAGAGTGAGAAAGAAAGATGTTTCTGCTGTCCAAAATGTGCATTGGTGTGTTTTGTTTGCAGGCTTCCGGAGGCTTGAGCTACCCTGCATGACGGGGACATGTTTATAAGCCACTGGGCCACACACAGAGCAACACTAAGACGCTGCTGAAGAGATAAAACGGCCACGCGGGGGCGGGGGGGGGGCCTGGATACAGACCAGCGGATCTCCATTTTCTCTCATTGTCTTTTTCAGTTTCTCTCACTCTTTCTCTCCCTCCCTCCCTGCATGAAATAGGATCACAGTTAACTGGAAGACAGTATGAACAGGAAAGACCAGGGCTGTCCCAGCAGAGGAGGATTCTGGGACAGCAATTGGCGAGAAGAAATATAGACTGTCGAAGCATGTGCACTAAAAGCAGGAATCATTTGTGGAGCCTTGTTCTCGACATTAACGTTCACCTTCCTGCTGCAAAACATATCTACCTCAAGTCATTTCATTTCTTTTGTCATCACATATTTTGGAGAAGCTTACATGAGCATACATGTTTTTGTAGAGCTCTGATGTAATGGGTCACGGTCTGGTAGTTGTGGTCCTCATTAATAGCTACGGTGGCCGAGAGGTGTCAGACTGCAAAAACCACAATGAAAAATCATGCAAATGCACTTGTGTGGTGGTTCTTGTTGCAGATCGGAATTGGATTCAATGCAGAATTTTATTTCTTTTACATGACCTATTATGAAAAATATACATTATTTATTGATTTAAATGAATAGTACCTAATGTAAACTATCAGATAGATCAAATTAGGCATACAGTACTCATTACTCAGAAGCATATTATATATGGGTGGTTATGCCCCCCCAGCCCCCATTGGAGGTGCCCCTGATTCAATGTAGGAATTGTAGAAAGGATGCATATTGGAAAATTCTGCACCATACAATTAGCTTGTAAAGGCAACATTCAGAGCCATTGTGCCCTTTAGGTTCAAAAGTAAGGGTGGTGGATTGGGGTGTAACTTTCCTGTGGGTGACAGTACTTCATGTTCCGTCATAGATTCCAATAATAATGTTTTTTTTGTGTGTTTTCTTTTACATAACTAAATACTTTAATAAAGGCTTATATCTGCTTACAACTACTTTATGATTTGTTATAAACATTTTATTAAGTGTAATAAGTGCATATAAATGCCTTATAGGGGTAAAGTGTTACCAAGTTCATTTTAACAACAATATCGCAACGTCCCCAAAAATCCCCCTGAAACACAGTTATGAATAAAGCTATAACAGAGTAAGAATGGTCAACATTACATTATGTTACCGTTTCGTTTACTCGCCTTGCTCACTGTCAGTTAAAGAGGGAACGGAATATGCCTTACATATTTTTCATTTGTTTAAAAAAAAAAAAAACACAAAATGCCATTCTGAACTCCTTTAACTATTAAAGGTGCTGCTGTTTTTTTGTCAATGTGTGCTGCTCATGATGGATCTTGATCATTACATTCTGCTAATAGGACCATTTTCTACTACTTTCTAATATTTCACTGCATTTAAAAAGGAAAAAAAAGTTTTTGTGTTAGTACAAAATACGGCCAGATTTGTGTCCGCCCATTCAGCCAGCTTTTTCTGCAGCTTTTGCAAAAAGAAAAATACATTTTATAAATCCTTCTTCTTTTTTTTTTTGTGCTGGACACATCTTAACTCCCCCAGCAGGTGGGGGGTTTCCAGCAGTGTGGTTAGAGGGTATTAAAGCAAGAGAGAGTAAAAATCAATGTTGGTAGTTACAGTCACATTTATCACACATTTGATTCAACAGAAGTCCACAGCTGTCAGTATGAAAGATGGCGAAAGGACCAGTCAAAATAAAGCGCTGCCAAAGACCGTCACCAGGAAAGTGAGACAGAAATCTAATCAGAAGAAGGAAACAGAGGTCAGAGTTAAAAATATAAAGGAACATTTACTGTTGTTTTATCATTTCCGCTGAGCTCCTGTATAGTCAACGCCTGGTGAATTTGTTTTACTTCAAATGAAACGGAGGGAGAGCGAAGCGCGCCACAGATCAAATAGAATGTGAAAGAGAGCGAGGAAAAAAAAAAAAGGGCCCTCGCTTCCTACTTACATCAAACACCCGCACCCCGGGTGCCAATCAGCCACCGATATTTTACACAAATTCCAATGGTTTGAGGAGAAGAGAGCACAAACTCTCCTATCAAGGCGGTGCAGTGGAGCACCTGACCTCTTCTCAAGTCTTTCATTTGGAGCGGGCGAGGAATAAATCCCCGGGCAGTTGACGGCAGCTCGTACATTCAAAAGCTTTTTCTACATTACTGCAAAAAATCTCATCTTCAAGACTATTTTCTTAGAACAAAGAGCAAATGGACAGTGTTAATAATATAATCCGAATGCTCCGATTCCAAAAGTGATGATGTGATTTGGATAGAAAATCCCACTGACACTCTTCTTGTTTAAAGCAATAGTTCACTTCTTTTCAAAGGTTAAATGAGAAGGTCGATACCGCTCTCATATTTGTCCGTTCCATATACAGCGAGGTAAAATGGGCAAAAAATTAAATCTCAGGGACAATTCATACACAGAAAGAGAACATGATTGAGACATCATATTTTAGCACTTCAAACCTGAACCACCCACGAAGCTGTCACTGCTATACATATTAAAAAAACAGTACAGATAATAGACAGGCTGTGCCGGGCATCTACATTAATAATCCGTTTCAGCACAGATAGAGCAGGAAGGTTCGCGCACTGATTCATCTAAAGAGCTGCTAGCTGCTGTTAGCGGCAGGATCTGTTCAGTAGCTTCACCTCTCACGACCAGAGACAACACCTCATCATCCGAACCCAAACTGAGAGCGTAGATCGGTGTGCAGAGGCTTTTACAGCCTGTCCCTGTGTGAGCTGTGCTGGCACATCAGTAACAAACTGCAATTCCTCCAACAGCCACTGGAGGCTGGCTGCAGAAGTGAGTCCGTCCCAACTTTAAGGCAGAAATAACTGTACAAGTGGTGGATTTTATGTAACTCACCTGTATAAATTATATTAAGGCTTAAAGTTATGCATAATTAAGGCTATGGCCGCTTTGATTGACAGGTTCTCTCTGCTGAATCCAGGCTTCATTCGGCCCGCTGACTACGTTCATTTTCAATAACAGTCATCTATGTTTTCATCCATCCATTAGCTATACCCACTTATCCTTGAGTGTAGCTGACATTGGACCCTAGTCCATCACAGGACTCAAACATCCTTTCACTTTCACGCTCATGTTCACGCCTGCGGGCAACTTTACAGTCACAGACAGGCCTCAGCCAGCCGGCCGGGTTGTGCCCCGAGCTTTGCTGTGGTGCGGTCGTGCTAACCACTGCACCACTGCACCGATCTCAATTTCTTGATCATTTACACTTTGTACAAAAACAGAAATTTGAATTAATTTCATGTATTTGATATATCTCCCAGCCTTTGTTAAAAATCAATCAAGAGCCAAGAAACTTTAGCTTAGCTTAGCATAAAGTCTAACAGCTAGCCTGTCACTGTCCTAGAGGCGACAAAATCCACCTCCTGTAGAACCTCTGAAGCTCACTGTTAGACCTTTTTCACAGCGGACATTTTGACTCGTCATAGTAGGAAAGGCACAGGTTTTACCAATCACATGACCAGTGACTGTGTTGTGTTCAATGACCCAGTAAGTCAGGACAGTGTGACACTAATGCACACACAGTACCAGGACCCTGAAGCTGAAGTGGCTAAGTAGAATCATTTTATTAGTTACACCTGTGATTGTCAAAATGTCCGCTGTGAAAAAGGCCTGTTAACAGCGTAAGTCTTGTTTGTTTAATCAGCACACAAACAGACTGATAGGCTGTAGAAACACTAATGATGCTGTTACTTTGACTGTGTCTTGTTAGGACTCTCTATCACTGAGTATGTGCCCAGAAAATAGATTTTGATGCGTTTATGCTTTCTGCTTTTCAGTCCCGCTGCTACTGTAACTGTGACTGGTTGATTTATTATTTGAAGGTCCAAAATCTGCTATGTTTTTGAAAAAAAAAAAAAAAACTTCCACAAAGCACACTAATTCAAAGACCCCCCGCTGATGGTGTGTTGCATGTCACAGCTGTTCAGCACTAAGTCGGCCTCGTTGGCGAGGAGCAGCGGACCGTGAAGCCTCGGTGTCATTGCTTTGGATCAATGACTGGGTCACGTGACCCGCCGGAAAAAGGTGACATTGGCTGATCCGCCAGCGCTGGCCAGACAGTCGGCACCAGGTCGCTCAGCTGGAGGGGGACCGGCCTGACCCGAACCACGCGGCCCCGAGCTTTAAAGCTGATGGTTCACGGTGGAGGAGCCACAGACGATGCTCCCAGCTAATTGGGTACGGCTGCCAGTTCTTCTCCGAGGGAAGTAGCTATTGGCTGCTAAAAAGTTGCTTGAAGTTGCCAGATGACGTCATTATGTGATTTGCTGCATCCTGTTCTGTGCTGAGAGGCAGCAGTGGAAGAAGCTTCCACATCCCTCATTCAAGTGGAAGTACACTCATTCATGGCAAAATACTGCAGTGCAAGTCCTGCACTCACAATCTTACTTCAGAAGTAAAAGTACAAATGCTACCACATGGAGATAGTTGTAACTCTGTTGTATACAGTTTAGTTAGTTAGTTAGTTAAATCCTGTGCTTCCCAACTAGGACTGCACAATTAATCTAAATATTATCATAAACGCAATAAAACCAAGTGCAGTATCCAAATCGCAGAAGCTGCAACGGTAAAATGAGGAAAGCAGCATTTTAATGATAAACTGGGTGCTGCAGGGGTTCCCTGGCCTACAAGTATTGTTCTCCACATATTTGTTTGCTGCAGAGCCCCAAAAATTTCACCACATCGTGATTTGAATCGTTTTTTTGTGTGACAATTTCATTTTTGATGCACAAAAACGATCGTTCTGTATCTGTCGAAATAATCGCAATATGAGGATTTTACCACATCGTGCAGCCCTGTTCCCAGCCGGGGGGGTCAGGCCCTTCCTAAAGGTCACCAGATAAATATGATGGGGTTGTGAGACGATTAAGACAAAAAGTTCTGCTGCACAAATTTCAATGAATCTTTTTAAACTTTTGACTGAATGTTGCTTTTCTGTGAGATATTGGATGTTTTTCCTCTTTGGGTCTTGAACGGTTATCAAATGAAACCATGTGAGACGTTTAGTGTTTAAATGTAAAATCATAATATGCTACTGACTATATCTAAATGTAGTGGAGTAGAAGAATAGAGTAGCATAATGTGGGAAAATGAAGTACTACTGTAAATGTACTTAGTTACTTAAACACAAAAGTACTTAGACGAGCCAATATTGCACATTTGTGTGTATCCATATTTGTTCCTGCAGGTCTCATACACTTGAGTCTCATACACTACAGTCTTGAGTGGCTGGATTGGAAGGAGAAACAGCAGTTGGAGTTTTAGTTTTACCAAACATTTGTTTAATTCCACGTTGCTTTTTAAAGGCAGAGATATTGTAACCGGTTAAAGGGCAGCGAGTGGCGTGGAGCCACAGTCAGGGAAGAGGTGGTTAAGGGAGGAAGCGAATGCGTTCTGCTACTAACAGAACACATCGGTCTGTCCATACAGCTGCTCTCTGACGTTCAACTCCTCTACTTTCACCATCACAGCAGCTCCACCTCTATGACATTCCACTACAACCTGAACCTCTGCTGCTCCACTGCATGCTTCCTGGTCCATCCACAGTCTGTTCCTGCTGTCCTCCATCCACTCCTCCCCCCCCAGCATTGTGCGCTTGTCTCGTAAACTGTCAGCACGTCTGATCCCTTTTGTTCCTGTCATATTTCAGCAAATTAAAAGCATTAGCTGTGTGTCTGGCAGCAGGTGGAGGAGGACGGGGTCCGGGTTCGGCCCTCCTGCCACTGTGTCACTGTATTTCATCATCAGAGGACTCGCATCATTTGCTTGAGCTGACATTAGTCTCAGTGCAGGAGGCCAAATCCATACATCGCTATTAATATTTAGCTGACTTCCTGACAGCAGTTTGGTAGTTACACTGGTCCTGCCACACCTACCAATAACACCAAACCATTAGATGTGTTTCTACAGATCCTAGACCAGCACAAAATACTGCTTTTATAGTAAAGACTTGTGTTCCTGCCTTCACTGTAGACTCTGTAATGCAGTTTGATCTCCGTCGACCTGATGGTGCTCAGGACTCCATGGATGGACTGATTTGGTGAAAAAAAAAAAAAAGTGAGCTGGATTTCTGCTACAGCTCAGTGAGAGGGATGAACAACTGGAAAACTGCAGTCACCAGAGCCAAAGAGCTCAATGTGGACTGCTTTTACACAGGAGTTTGCTTTTCTAACTGTGCTCGTAGAAAGAGTAAAAATCTCTACAGATCCCGCAGTAATGCAAAGTGAAATAACATGAAAATTATTCTCCAGTTTTCTTTAAAAAAAAAAAAAAAAAAGTATAATGGAAACAATTATGAGGCAGCACCGCACTGTATGTACAGCACTGACTGCATGGAAGCAGTGGCAATGCTGTCTGTCTGTCTCTCTGTCTGTCTGTCTGTCTGTAAGTGGAAGACAGTGGAATTTATTCACCTGTTTTAAGGAATCTATTTCAGTCACAGATGACAGTTAAGGCCTAATGCTCCTCTGTTGCGGTAATTGTTGGAGTCCTGATTGGATATTGACGCGGTGCTGATGGGCTCTAAATACTGGCTGTGTCTGAGTGTGCCCGACTGTGGGGAAACTCTCTCAACCCCCGAAAGAGGGCAGATAAATGGCCGTCGGGGGTGGAGGGGGGGTGTCGCCTGAACGGCTCTTACCTGTAATTGTCCCACTCCCTTCCCGCACCTTAACGCCCGTTCAAAGCATCGGCGGGGCTGCTGCTACAATCCAGTGGTGTGTCTGTGGTGTGGAGACATTTGCGTCCTGGGGCTGGCGGAAAAGAAAACCGGGAGTGGTGGGCTTTTTTTTTTTTTTTTTTTTTTTTCTTTTTGTCCCCCGCTCCTTCAGATGTAATCAAACAGCAATAACAGAATCAGACACGATTACTGTTCTTCTGAGGCGGCAGCGTGGGCTCCTCATCCGCCGCACAGCCGAGATTCTCCCGCACCCGAACCTCCCCTGTCCTCTTTTATTCCGACAGAGTCCAGAAAAGCCGGCAGCCCCGCACAGACTCGGGAAGATAACGCGCTTTATCTGCGTCCCGTCGGCGCGCCCTCGGTGGGAGACAGTCCCCCCCAGAGGGTCAGACAGCGCACCTATAATGAACAGATGAATTTCTCAAAGTGGGATCGATCCTGATCAATCACTTCAGCCTCTCAGTCTTTGCTCCACCGCGTCTCTCCTCAGTCTGACAGCTCAGCTCTGCGCGCACTAACTTTTATGGAGACTCCGGAGCGCACAGCGCACAGCGCACCGTCGCTACCGCCGCCGGTAACGCGTTACAGCATCCAGATTACTGGCAAGGATTTGTCTCATAGCCTTCTTAGACTGGACCTCCTTTATTTGAATGCCTCAATGGCTGATCCGAAAAGAAGCATGCGTTGCTTTTCTCGTCAGAGAACCTCAATGTGCTAATGAATCCAAACTGATATTGTCAAACAAAAACTGCACGATCATTACAGGCTCATTAGGACATCTGAAGAATAAAGATTCACAAAATAGAACATTTAATGATTCAGATTTTGTCAGAAGACTAAAAACACAATCACTCATTTGAGAAGCATAACGCAAAAATGACGTAACCAAGAAATGAGTGAAGTACCACACTGAAATGGTAATTAATAAGTAATAAACTGCATTTGATTCATTGAGCTCGAAAGTGAATCAAAAATCATTCCCCACTGAGACATCATCAATTCTGACAAAAGCAAAGAAAAATCACAATTTTCCCAAAATATGATTATTTCCTCAGTCTCCCACAATTCCAACATAAAGAACCGCAGACTCATTTAACCCCATCAGTGACCCTTTAAAGGAGAAGCTGTGGACTGTGTTTGGTGAACTGTTGAACTGTGGACAGCACCCACTGCCGCCTTTCCTCACCAAAAGTTGTCCAGTATTGCCATCGTGTGGACGTTTGATGCATTTCACCAGACATCAGCGACATTCCTCAGGAAGTAAAAGAAAACTGATCAGTGGTCAGATAAATGTTACATTTTAAAGAGCCCCTCCAGACATGTACTAAAAACAAAAACAAACAAATGGGCTACTTGGAACAATAATGTGTGTCTGATATGTTTTTTATGGTATAGTAAGTATAATTTCCACATCCATATAAAGACAAGATGTCTCCTACCTGACTGTGAAGTCCATTCTCAGTGATTCTCACATCACACTGTACAGGTTGCATACTGGACCAGGACTGACTTCCAAATGACTTGTGGTGTAACAAATCATGCTGGTAGGCCCCGCCCCCTAAAACCTGATTTTTAATGAGCTCAGAGAAACTTTCCACTTTCAGCAGATGAATGTAAAAGCCTCCTTCTAGAGTCGAACTCTTAACATTCATCATCCAAACAGCACGCTGTAGGGTAGAGAAGGAACTCTGACTTCTGAGTGGAGGGGGGCTTTAAGTACACTCCTCACACAAATAACACAGTTTGATCAAAAATGTTTATTCCATGGTGAAAACATTCCTGTCACACACGCACACACACCCAATTTTCTTTTTACAAACAGCAAAATTCCATAGTATAATGCATGTGAGCAGACAAAAAAAATCATAAAAGTGACATAAGCACAAAGTGATTGGCTTTTGCAGTTCATTCAGAGATAAAAGGGAACACTTAAAAAGTCCTTTCAGCTCGGTCCATCGGGAAAATCAAAACAACTGATGCTGTTTGCTTTTTTTCTTTTCTACTTCAGGAAAATATCATCCTAAGGCAATCTTAAGAGAGATCAGATTTCGCGTCTGCCCGTGTCGGACTGATACGAGCAAACGTCCACACGCTCCAGATTCAACAACGATTGTTCAGGCTGCTTCTGAAAGGCATCAGCGGCTGTAGTAGTAGTAGTAGTAGTAGTAAGTAGTTCATGGACTCGTTCTCCCAGAGTTCCTCAGCATTCCTCTTTGATGTAGATTTGTTCGTCTGTGTCGGACTCCATGTGCTCCAGCCGGTCCGCCTGTCCGTTCATTATCTCATCTGGAGTTTTCATGAACCTGGTGAACGCAACAAGGAAACAGCTCTTGTAATTTACTGCAACCTCCGTCTTTAGTTACTGTTTGGCAAGTAACACACATTTTTATGAATAGCAGGAAAAACTGCCTTTAAGTTTATATACCTGAATAGAAGTCTTTGTCCAGGCTCTTTCCTGATAATGTTCAGTTTGTAGTAGTGTCTCAGTGCTCGCGACATCTTCTCGTACGTCATATTGGTCCTGTTCTGTAAGAAAGAATAAAAGTGTCATTAGCAGTAATAACATGATATTATTGATCTGTACAGTCAGACGTTTTGGCCACTTGGGGGCAGCAGAAACTGGCTGCAAACACAGCAGTGACACATTATCACTTAATACATTTAATATGGCTAGCTTGTTGGCAAACAGTTGCTTATTTACCCCTTCAGCAGAGAGAGCAACATTCATTTGAAGTTTCTGACCACCCAGTGAATATAATACTGTAAACACTCTTCTTGAAGCTCTGTTTTTCCACCAACTCCTGAGGGAAATATCTGGCTCTTTAGTTGCTAAATGTTCCACCGTGTTCACCAGCTAGTCGCTAACTTTGTCTGTCTGCTGTGTGGTGCAGAGCAGGTAGCAGGTGGTGTATGGTCTGTTTCTCTGCTGGCTTTATTAGAGGTTTTCTTGCTGAAAACAGCTGGCTGCTGCAGCTGGTAACAAGGTTGTGAAGAACGTCTGAGTTTGTGGGCCGTAGAATCTTAGTGGGCTAAAAAACTCTAAAGGTGCACTGCAGAGTCGCGTGATATTTATTTGAACTCATCACTATGATCAACAGATTTCACATTCTTTTGAGTCATTGTTGATAGAAAAAATGTGCAGCTTTAAAGGACTGGTGTGCAAGATTTAGTGGGCTTATTCTAAGGTAACGAAAACACAACCATTCTTATATTCAGTTGATTACACACTTGTGAAAATATAGCTTTGAATATTATATTCCATTTCTGCCGATAGAGCCTCCTAAATGTTACACACTGGACCTTTAAACTGTTCTAGGAATGACAGTGGGGATGTCCCTGCTCACTGAGCCACCTGCAGCCTGATCAACGACAACAATAACACCTGGAGCCCTTTGCTGTTTTTTTGTGTGTGTGTGTGTGTGTGTGTGTCTGTGTCTGTGTCTGTGTGTCTGTGTGTTTACCTTGTGGTTGCCCCAGAGCCTGGCCAGGCCGTTGGGGTCCATGATGCGGAAGACTTTGCTCTCAGTATCCTCCCAGCGGATGTAGTTCTCGTACCTGCTGTCTGACAGGAGCTGGTAGACGTAGTCCCACAGCAGCCTGCAGTCTGCAAGGACAACACAGCCAGTTTGAATCAGACGGTGGTTTTATCTGTGATGCTTTCTGTCACAGAATACCAAAGAGACCAGATGAGTAACTAAGTCTCTGAACTAATCTCCTATTGTGACTAAAGGTGTGTTTATGAAGATACCACCTCGTGTGGCTTTAACCTTTAACCTTGTGAGGGCTAACTCTCACCTGCTATCCGTCCGATGGGCATCTGTTGCTCTTCTGGAGGAGACACGGGCATGATGACGTGGTTCCTGTAGAGCGCCTCCTCCTGCTGCTGCTGCAGTAGATGCTGCTGTTGCTGCTGATGTTGGGCCAGTGGTATCTGATGGTGGTGGCTGTGGACTTTCCCCTCGCGCCCGTTCTCGAGCGTCGCTTGAGAGGGAGTTGCGCCTCGGCTGTGCCTGAAGTCCATGGCGGCACCCCCGCCGCTCCTGTTCGGGCTGAGGAGCAGGGGGTTCATGATGGCGCTAGGCATGAGCTGGATGACGCGAGGAGGGGCAGCCTCCTGGCCTCCAGGGCTCCCCGGGCAGGGGGCTTCTCGGGGCGTCGCACAGCGGCCGTTTGGCGCAGCCGGCGACACCGACAGAGGGTACATTTCCTCTGGCAGGTGGTGGTTGCTGTCGGGCAGCTGGGAGAAGGCCTGCAGGGGGTCTTCATTGGCAGGGCGGGGGTGGTTTGGCTCCGGAGGGGATCGCCTTGCGGTGGGATGGTGGGGGGAGCGGGAGCGGTGCCGCAGCTCGATGGTTGGTGGATGCTGGGGGAGTGGCTCTGTACCACGTGGCGCCCGTCGTACCGTTTCTGGAATTCCAAAGAAAACAAGGTGTGATAAATATCTACAGCTACACACTTTTATTCACAACAATGAATCCTTTTTAAAGCAGAAATGTTAACGTTTGGTGGTGACAGCTTCTCACTGCTTTGCTTTGTCTTACGTTATATTAAACTGAATATCTTTGGGTTCTGAACTGGTTGTCAAACAAAAAAGCAACCTGAAGACGCCCTCCTCAGCTCTAGTTCTTCCAAGTCATTTATAAAAGAATCAGCAGATTAGTGATATTAAAATCATAATTAACTTGAGACAATAAATAATGTGTGTGTGGATTCCTTCATTTGCCTGAAGCTAGTGTTGCAGTAATGTTGGGCAAGCTTTTGGGTGTACACCATTTTCTGTGTTTGCCAAACAGGTGTGCCAACAGTAAACAGATATTGGATATAAATAGCAGAGTGATACAAGAACAAGACTGGGACCAACTCCGGCCTCAAAAAGGACCACAGAACTGAATCAACACCTGATAGTGTCAAATTCAATATTATATAATTATTTGTACAATTGTGCTTGTGCCTCAAGTTGTCTCTATTTGTGACTGTCCAAAGAAGACAATCCAAAAGCTCCAGCAGTAAATGTGAGTAACAGAGCATGAAATGAAATGAAGTGGTGTATTGTGGCTTTTAGCTGTTTCCCAACTTGTGCCATAATTTGCCCCCACTTCCAGTAAGTCAAAAGATGCTCATTATGGTTAGCTCCTGGCTTTAAGGCCTGCCTGCTTCACACAGAAACGACCACTAGGTGTCACTAACGTCCTACAGTTAAGCAGATTGTTTTTGATGAGTTGTAGTTAAAGTTCTGTTTTATGAAGTAGTTTGAATTTCTCCGAGTCCTCCATGCACACACAGTGGAAGAACACATATACAAAGTGTTAAACAGCAGCAAACCAATCAGTGCAGTAAACAACAGGAGCAGCTCGCTGTGCTGTACTGCAGTCTGTTTAAATAAAGCAGCATTTCCTCGTGGAACAGGTTTTACTGTCAACATGTGAAGTTATGTTGATTGTTGCTGTGTCATATTTCCTCACATCAGAGCCAGAAAAACAGTCTCGGGTATTTCGCTGAACTCTATCATTACTTCCTTGGAAACAGCAAATACGGGTGTTGAGTGAAGGCGTCTGTGCTTTTGAAGAAAGAGGCCGACTGATGTTTTGCACTTATACAGTCTTACACTATCTTTATGAGAAGGTTATCTTAAATTATCTACATTTACAATCAAATGAACAGCATCGCTTAGGTACATAGACATAGAGTACCTGAACGGCTCTTATTTTTCTGACAAAAATATTTCAGCATTGCATTTTTTTTACATTTTTTTTAACCATTGTTAAAAACCTCAGAACAACTGATTTTATACTATTACAATATCTGCTATTATACTGAAGTTAGCCTACTTTAGCTAAGTAGCTTAATGTCTACATATCAAGTAGACTCTTAATATAATATCTTCTGTAATAATTTATTTTACTGATCATTTGATGATTGGTGTAAAAATGTATTGATTGTAGATGACAGTTATATGACAGTTATATGTATGTGTGTATGTATAGTGTAAAGCTGCAGGCTGATCGATTATGAGCTACTGAAAACATTATTTATTCGATATTTCTCCTTATTTGTTGACGTGGCTGCTAGATACAGCTGGAGTAGTCTCACAGATGCTGGAAGGGGAATTGGTCGTGGGGGTTTTAAGTCATTCTTGAACGAATGTGGAAAATAATTTTGAGCGAAACTGTGAGGAAAGCGTATATTTTTAATGCAACAGAATTCAATCATTTTGGAACCATTTATGGAAGAACATAGTTTCCAATAATCTGTGCATCAAAATGTATGAGATGTGTGCATTAAAGAAGAAATCCCGTTGGTTGGACTGACCTTCAAGCTTCAGGTGCTGCACAGCGCTCTCAGGGAGCGAGTGGAAGGAGTTCCCAGGGAAGTAGGCAGACGGGTAAAACACGTGGGGCTTCCTCTGCTTCAAGATATGCTGCAGCAGCTCATACAGGACGTCCCCTGCAAGGGTCCAAAGGTCAAAGGTTAGCATACTTCTCCCAGTAGCATTTTACACCTGCATAAAATGGGAAATTTGTGTTGGCGTCATCCACAGAATCGTGTTCCCCCTTCTTCTTCCCCTCTGCTTTCCAGGCAGCAGGGAGCTTGAGCAATAATGGAAGACACCACGTTGGACAGATGGTTTTCAGGACAGGGCGTGAAACTGACTTGGTGTTACTAGAAAAATATTTCCTGACCTAATGACCTAAAGAATAGTGTAGATTCCCTCACAGATAAGCTTTACTCTTTCAGAAGAAGCATTTTCCTTCCACGGAGCAAAATACTCCATCTTTCAAATGTGCTGAATCTAAATATTCTCTACTACTTTTCTATGGAAGTGGCAGTTTACCCCAGGACAAAATCCCTTAAAAACCCAGGTTCCCACTGTAAAGCTCGGCTACTTTGCGGATAACATGAACTTGATGTTGACACAAGTACATGGGTCGTCGCTCTATATGACCCTGGTATTCTCCTTTAAGTGGTTAAACAGTAGTGGTGACACAGGGCACAAAGCCCGAGCAGGAAGTTCACTGAATGATTAACAGCTGTTTGTTCTGCCTCAACACCGACAACAACAGCTCCTCTCCCGGCGGCACAAAGCATTTCCATGGTTAACAAATAACCACAGGTACAGTGGGTGTGATTTTAAACACACTGCCATCACACATTACCTTCAAGATTATTTTTTTTTTTAAAGGCTTACCATAACAAGGAAATGATTCTCATCTCAAGGAAGTGCACACAGACACACACACAATACACACACACAATGCACACACACCCACACCTCTTTCAGTTCTCACTTTCTGGTCCTGTGGCAGTGAGTTACAGTTTAGGGAAAATTCCTACTTCCTGGTGCATTCAAATTTGCTTTGATTCTGGATTTAAAATGTTACTTTTAAACTTTTGACTAGACTCTGCATACACACACACACACACACATATATATATATATATATATATTTATATTTATATACACACACACACACACACACACACACACAGACACGTGCATATATGAAGAAAATAAATTAAATTAAAGAAAGAGGAGAAAATGTCCCGCCATGTTACAGTTAGTCATAACTGATATATGAAACTCCCTCTTTGTCTTTACATGTTTCCCACTAAACATGTTCAGGTTGAAACAAGAAGCCAGGACGGAGCTTTACAAACTGTTCGGCTGGTTATTGGAAGTAAGCTTAAGCCATTCAAGGAAATATTATTATTAGACTTTCTACAAAAGGAAAAAAGTGGCACACAGCAGGGACTGACTCCCCAAAGGAGGAAACAGACTCATCACCAACCAAAAAACTCTGATGTGACTGATAACCGGGCCAAAACAACTAGCACTATCGAAATGTAATCAATCACTGACAGCTCTATCTCTCTCTGTATCTCTAAACTAGGCTTTTGTTTCTACATCTGAAGTTGCTGATACATGAAACCATTTCACAACAAAATTATCTCAGTGTCATATAGAGGCGACTCAAACCAGCCAATAAAACCTGCGGCGATGAATCATACTCTCTCCATTTCTTTCCACAGTACTCAATTTCTTGACAGGATATGAAAGTTGAAATGGAAACGAGCTTGACAACAGCTGTCAGCTGGGCCACATCTCTCTACAACTACAGATTATTTCTCACAACATGTAATATCATTGAAAGGGACACATCGGGTCTCTGTTGGTAGGAAATATATACTGAACTGAACAGAGCAACTTTTACTTACTTTCTGCTTGATTGTACGGAGGATTAAAAAGGACTTATTCAAGTAATCAATGTTTAAATCAAATACATAAATAAATGCTGAACTAAATAAAGATTTTAAGCTGTTAATAAAATAATGTTAATTTGAATTAAATACATAAATAAAAACATAATGCATAATCAAATAAATAAATAGCGACCTACAAGATTATTAGAGATATCCAATATCAGTAGGGGCATACAGCACTGCTTTATACACCACTAACTAGTAAGAGAGCTAAATTGAGATATACTGTATAAGGTGATATATAGTATATGGAAATATACATTATTTATTTCCTGATTAAACAGTATAAATATTTTAATTTAATAATTTTTATTTTATTTAAAAACATCAATATTTTTGTTCTGTCATTATTTCCACATTTTTAGTCCTCCATACAATTACCACACATTTATTTTGGACCTAAAATGACATTTCTTTTCCAGGCCGTGGAGGGTTTATCTCTATATTTCACAATACTGATCACTCACTACATCCTACTCTTATGACTATCATCTAGAACTGCACCACCAACACTGTCACCCTGTCTGACTGTGTGTAGTGTAATATTTCCAGGACACACAAACAGAAATCGAATCCTGTTTCATTTACTGTTAAAAAAAAGAAAGGCTTCCAAAACTCTGCAAAGGAGAACAGTTAACTTTTTTTTGCTTTATTCTTGGCCGCTGGCGTTGCCAGGGCAACAGTTGAGGTTGGTTTGTACTTCCTGATCAACCGTCTCCTACTTCCTCCCCCGGCAGCTTCGCAGTAACAGCTGCCTCCCTCCACTGTCGCCTGACACTGCCGCCTTCCCTCCTCTGCTCCAGCTGACTTTATTGATTTTTAAAGGGTGTAGTTTTGCTGTAAACACATTGATTTTAAAGCTGCACTGGAACAGGTTTTCATGTGCAAATACACTATAATATTAGTCTAATCCACAAAGCACAAAGGACAAGCACAATTTAAACTTTGATGAGACAAAATGTGGTCATAGATGCTCATTCATAATGTGTTTCACTTATCTCTGAGGACCCCACAATATCCATTTCAAATGTTATTTAGTCCTATCAGTCCCTTCTGTGACAGCAGGTGCCATTTTTTTCCTTAGAAAATGAGCTATGTATAATTGCACCAATTTTCCATAGTTTTTCTGCAACTAGTCAGAGTGTTTCCATGATCTAAAACTACTCTCTCTCTCTTGGTAGGTCTCCTTTTCCAGCTTGGCTCCTGCTCCAGTTGGACACAAAAATTTTCAAATGCAATCAATAAAAGTGACTCATTTGTAAAACTTTACTTATGTCTCCACTTTTCCCAGCCTGGAATTTATTCTTATATCTCCAATAAATTCATGAATAGGTGGAAAGAGTACCGGAGTGGGGGGATCGGTAGCGGAAGTCTTCCTTGGTCAGCAGCAGCAGGGCTTTGCCGTTCATCTGGAAAGAGCCGCTGGTGATCGGCCGTAGGGCGAACTCCTTCTCTGCCCATCGCAGCCACTGGGCCACATCCTCCCTGCTCCAAAAGACTGGCTGCAAACCTGGAGGTGGAAGGATTTGGGGGGAAGGAAGAGGATGAAGGAAAGTGAATTGAGACCAGGGTTTGGAAAAGAAACAACAAAGCGGAGGTGAAGGGGAAAGGATGGAACAGAAGAAGGATGAGCTCAGTGGAGAAGAAGCAGAAGGACGGGCGGGGGGTTGGGGGCGAGGAAGGAAGAAAGAAGGAAAGGCAGGAAGGAGGGGAGGGTGATGGGGAGGGAGGAAAGGAGGAGGGGAAGGGGGGGAGAGGAAGGAAGGAGGCAGAGGCAGTAAAAAGGATATTGAGGAAGTGCAGATAAAAGCCAAAAGGAGGGAGTGATTACGGGAACGGCAGCAGAGATAAAGAAAAAAAGATGAAGGAGGAGACAGAGTCAGAAAGGGAGAGGAGGTTAGAATAAAAGATTAAAAGATGATAGGTTAAGAGGAAGAATACAGAATGAATCACAAGGATAAAAAAAAGGAGGGGTAGGGGGATATATGAGAAAGACAGACTGTTATTTTATTTGATCTGCTATGATCTATGCTGTTCTTTGCTCTCTGAACTCCAGGCAGGCACATCAGAGAACGGACAGTTTATTAGTCCGTGTATAAACGGACAAGGACACATGGAGGGAAAGAGAGCAGAGGAAACAGCAATGACAGTATCTCTTTTTTTCTCCTCCCTCGCACTCTGAAATATTTCTTTCACTGCCGTGGGAACAGGAGTGTAAAACATCTGCACTGATGACCAGCACGTAGTCAGAGGCAGCGGGGAAAGAATAGAGCGGAGTGTGAAGAAAAATCGGAACAAAAGCTCAGTGTCATCTGAATGCTGTGTAGAAAGGATTTCAGTTGTGAAAACATCTCTCAGATCTGCTGTGAATGCAGAAATAATCTTATTGGAGTTGGTTGGAGCTGAAGCTTAAACCTTTTTTAGTTAGCTAGCGGCAGAATGGCAAAAAAGAAATCTAAATAAAAGTGTAAATGCCAGTTACATTTGATTTAATTCATTTATGTTGTTAGGGTTAACTAAGTAGCTTACCTAGAAAGAAACACAATTACATTTGCTAATTTGACACCAGCAGCAACCACTATGCTAAGGCTAACATGTGAAGGTAACGCTGGCCTCAGGAGAGAAATGGAAACGCCCACCAACTTTATCCAGAAATATAGTCAATACATTTTTTCCATAAAATGTTGCAGTGTGGATTAGATTCAAAGTATTTGGTTTTCTGCACCTGCCAATGCGGGCGCACAAAATCATGGTTAAAAAAACACAAACAGCGCTCACCTTTTTAGAAATCCTTTCTTTTGATATACTTCCTGACATAAAAGGGTCTGTATTTTTAGACTTACACATAACATCTTTTGACCCTTATTTATCTCGGTTAACATGGATACTGCCACCTCATCGTATCATTTTGCACTCTCTGTGTAACCCAATGATTTATACTATGACTCAGACTCACCTCCCTCTCTTTTTCCTATTCTCCTTCTCTCTTTCTCATGCACACACAGACACACAAACAACAGTCTTGTGCCGTACAGCTCCGTTCAGATCGTCCATGACACCCACACGGAGCATAACTACTCATTTCTTACATCTCACTTATCGCCCGGCCTCAAACACTTCCTCTGGGAGTCGGACAGCTGTTATCTTTGGCCGCCAATGTCACTGTCACACAAGTAATAGGAACCTTGTGCTCGCTTTCAGGCCTCTCCCCCTTCAGCTCCCCCCACCCGTCAAACAGAGGAAGTTTTCACAGGGAGCAATCAATATAAAATGAAACCCTGTCTAGCTTGTCAGATTCCCATTTCTCCCCTTCCCTTCTAGTCCTCTGTATTCAGATAGTGGCACGAGCGTTGCCGATAAGCCCGGGAAGGCCTGGGTTATCTGAAGCACAGCTTACAGCCTGTCAAGCTCTGACCCTCAGCTTGTCAACAGACATCCTAAGAAAGTGTCAGGGAACTGGATACAGGTGTTTCACAACCACAGGAGCTAGTGGTGAGCAGATAAGGAACTATATTTCTTCATATTTTTCTCCTTTTTTCAAAGCATCGGCTTCCTGGCCACAGTAGAAATTATAGCAAGGATTATCTCTAGTCTTTAATACGTTTAATATATATGCATGTAAATCTGCTTGTTTTTAGTATAGGTAACTTTAAACATCAGTGGTAAGCAAACTCTCCAAAAACCAGTGATTTGAATTTGAATGAGGTTTTTTTTTTACCTTAAATGTGTCCCTTTTGTAGCTTTAACAAATAACTTTGTTTAAATTTAACTGTGCCATATAACAGGAATAGATCTTGGATGCACTGGAATACTCCTAGCTGACTACATCATTGACTTTCTATCAATATTGAATCAAGCTGCCATCTGCACTGAATGCACCAGCTGTACGTTCGTCTCTCGTGGCTGACTTGTGAGAGCGGCGAGGCCGGGGCGGGCAGCAGTGCAGCCCGGGTCGCGAGGTCATGGCTGCGGTATGCTCTCTCCAGGGCCGGAGAGAGGTGCTGCTCTGCCAAAACCCCTCCGAGATCCGGTCTGCCGGCCTCAGCCATCTGCACAGAGCCCAAAGGAGGAAGCAACAAGGGGAGCAGAAGGGAGGAGGAGGAGGTGGAGGAGAAGGAGGAGGAGGAGGAAGAAGGGGGCCCAAACAAACGTGTCCCACAACGCACTTTGGCAGGAAGCAATCCAGCGTGGGCTCTGTTTCAGCACAGGAAACTTCCTGCGGTAAGGTTAGAGAGCGACGCCGGGAGGGTTATTAACAGACAGCAGCAAGACACAGACGAGAAAAGGAAGAGTGAAAACAGAAAGGGAAGAGTGATGTCGAGCAGCAGCGGATAGTGGGTGATGACGGGGAAGAAGAGGACAAAACAATGATGCAAAAAAAGAGGAAGGAAAGGCAAGCAGGAAGGGAAACAGATACCGAGCCAGTACTCAAATGAATCTCACAGAGTGGGACATCGCGCTCAGCCCCAAATTCATGCTCATATCTGATTCTTCTGACTGCTCATACCTATTCTAGGGTGTAACTAATATATGAAGCGAAGCCAGCAAGCTAGTTCAGGCAGTCAACTCGAGTCAGCCGACACTCACCTGATGTACTCTTATTCCAACATATCTAACGCACCCTTCCATGCCTGCTGCCAAACACAGACACGTATCTATTCACTAGTCTGCTTTTACAGCCTTTTGTGTTTATCCTCGCACTCACGCAAACTAACTCCAGATTCCAACAAGTTGGACGTTTAGCGGTGGTGACGGTGAAGCCATGCGACCGTGGTGTAGTTTGTTCATAGCCTTACTTTTTACTTCTGGCAATTGCATTTACGCTTCAGAAATCATAAAAGTTGTGAAGATTATGATACTTACACAATATGTGCAGCAAGATTAACACATCTTATTCTCTGTAATAATCCAAAAATCTCACTGTCTTTTTGTTAAAGAAACCAGGGCAAACCCCCGGGTTGGCCTGCAAAAATATATCCTGCAGCCTTCTATTCACACAGTAAGTCCTTCCACGTGAGTTGGTAGATTGAGCTACAGATCTGTATTAATAGCCAGTTTTAAATTAGAACTTAGAATTTGGGATTTGTAAAGAATCATGGTTTTGATTCCTCAAGGCAGACCTGATTTTCAAGTCTTAAGGCAGATGAATTCCTGTCAAGTCACAAGTCTTCCTTTTTTTTTGATGCCAGTCTTTGACTGAAATCAGATTTCTTTGTACTTCACCTACATCGCTCACAAATCAAGTCTAGGTTTCACACAGTAAAGTATCAGGGCAGATCCTCCAAGTCAAGTCCTAAATCCTAATTTTCTTGGCTCAAGTCAGAGTCAGTGTATGAGTCTGCTGTTTATAAGAAAAGACTAGGTAAGAACACAAAATACAGTTGTCATACGAGATATGTAATCAGATTTACTGCAGCATGGTATAAAAATGAATGGTTTTGCGTCCAACTCAAGAATTCTACAAGAACCAGAGTTGATGGCAGACAAACAAGAGCTCCAATGTATTACTGTCCTGTACATACAAATCTGTCTTTACAACCAATTTCAGTTACAGTCTGAATCTTTAGGTTTTAAATCAATTCAGATGTCTCTCCAAATAAAGATCAACTCAGCAATTTCTCCTCTCTCCCTTGACGTATCTCTTTGTCCTACCAACATAGCGGAGCAAGTCAACAAAACCTGAGTCACATTAAAGTTGCGAGTTTCAGGATCTTATTTTGTATCTCATATCCATGTGATCTAGACAGGAACTGATTCTAAGCATGATGGGAAACTTTCTGTTGCAGTGAGACACAAACATCCTTTGCTTACTCAGAGGTGGAAAGGAAAATGTATGGCATGGACAGGGAGTGAAAGGAGAACAGAGAGAGCACCCTCGACCCTGACACTCTGTTCCTTCAACACATTCACACACTTCCTTGAGCTGATAAATGTGTCCTTTCTGGTTAGGCTTTTTTTTTTGTCCGAGAATCTGTTACAGATTTTTTTTTTGCAGGTTAGAGGAAGAAAATCAATTTCAGTCTTCCTTGTCATCCGTCTCTGCCTTTGTTGAATGCATCTCAGGTTTACAGTGTTCAAGAGAGTGTAGATATGTGCGTGTGTGTGTTTCTGAGTATGTGTGTGTTTACATTGAATAAAACCGTCAAGCACGACAGCAGCAGGATCCCAAACCCTTGACTAAACCGTGGGCTCCTAATCCTCTCTGATGACACATAATTTTCACTCTGTGGTTTCTCAGGCCCCCGCTCATGCTCACTAACACACATACACACACAGAGCGCACAAGTTGCCAAGGCAACTCATAAGCGCTTGGGATGAATGAAGGGAAGAGGAGGATGAGATCACTGGTATCTTGTTTCGTTGTTGCGGTACAGAAGCCCTCCACTTCCCCTTCCAGCCAGACGAGTTAATGAGGTCCGTCCTGCTGTGAAGCTTAAAGGTCCCGTCCAAAATCTCTGTTTAGCTCTGAACGTCTCACCAACACTCACACCACTGCAATACTGCTGCTTATTTTCACCCGGCTGACAACTGGAATGACTCCCTCTTAATACTTGGACTTGGACTTAAAATTGCTTTTAACTGTAACCCCCACCCCAAAAGGTCCACAGTTCGGGGGGAAAACATGTTAACAGCTGTATCCAAGGTTAGCAAAGATATACAAAGTTCATTTCTGAGTCTGTTTCTGATTGGGAACTGAAACAATTTTGGTTTTGCGCCAGCGAGGCAAGCCCCTAATGATTACTTTCATTATCAGTTCATCTAACGATCATCATTTTTCGATTAATCTATTAGTCTATAAAATGTCTGGAAAGAGTGAGAAATTACCCTCCCAGAGCCCAAGATGATGTCTTTAAATCAAAGGTTTTTCTGGCCATCAGTTCAAAACCCCAAAAGTCTTACTTTCTAATGTCAGTTACAAAGAAAGAGAACAAATCCAGTCAATCTTTGACATTTTTTAGATTACATAATTAACTCATAATCAGAACTGTTGCTGATTCATTCTCTGTTGATCAATTAATCAACTATTCGTTATCATTTTTCCGCTCCAGTGACAGATCCAAAAAGTAACAAAGTGGTCAAATTTGAAAACAATTTTTGCTCACGATTTGTGAAATTGTCTAATTAGCGGTAGCATTCAGAGAGCACAGTTTTATTGACTTTCACTGGTTCACTGGCCGTCATTTCAACAGTGGGCTATATCTTTTTATATACTACCTGCTGTCAATCCAGACTGAAGTTGCCATAGATAATGTTTTGTCAGAAGACACTTACATATGATAATGGTTGTTGTGACGGCATAGAGGGTGATAAAACTGCTGGGTGAAGCTAGCTTTATCATGACCCTACTCTCATTTTAGCAGAAGCTAGCATTACAATGTTAGCATCAACATTAGTGTTTCTGCTAGTTAATCTTATAACTAAGTAAGAACAGCATTAGTATGTCATATAGCATTGGGACACCTTTTTAAGAGATGCTGTCATTACAATGTTAGCATGAACATCAGTGTTTTTGCTAAGCTAAGGGCATATAGTAGAAAACTGGGACACAGCTGAGGGGAAGCTAGTGTAAATGTGTTGAAAGGACTAAATGTTAATTTAGCTTCTCTTCCCTGTTAGTTTGTAGCATAACAAAGGTCACGTATTGATTTTGAGTGTTTGATGTTTTCAGCTTTTCTAGTGCGTCATCGTATTTCCTTTCTCTTTATTTGAAAAACTGGAACAAAATTGCACATATGCGGTATTTTGAGTCATAACTGGAATCTGAAAGACTCATATATTGTTTTCTGTTGGAAACTACTTTCAACTGTCTAAATATACACAAAGTCACGACTGATGCACTTAAAAATCTCAGACAGAGGATTTCAGCGTAGCCTGAACTGAATGAACTATAACTAAATAAATAAAAAAAGCATTTCTGCATCAGTAAGGCTGGGACTTTGCTCTCCAAACCCAAAGCTCCTTAGTCACTCAGTTCTTCAGTAAATGTTTGCCTTTTCTCTCAAAGCAGAAGTAGGCGGATATTGGTCTTGCTATCTCAATAGAGTTTTTCTTTATCCAGACAGATGAGGAGGAGGAGGAGGAGGAGGAGGAGGAGGAGGAAGAAGAAGAAGGAAGAAGGAAGGACAAGGAGAAGGAGGAGGGGGGTTGGCCATGACCTTCTGACACCCTGACTCAGGGACATGTGGGTATGAGAGCAACACATTTCCATAGTTAATCCTCACACACTATTCATCTCCCCTCACTTTGTGTGCCTCTCTGTACATTGATTCCCTGTCAGGTGGGTGTGGCAGGGGAAAATCCACCTACGCACGCACGCACGCACGCACACACACACACACACACACACACACACTTTTACTTTTCAGTCAAGAAAAATCCCCCCCCCCTTCTCTCATATTCATCCTCTGCTTCCTCCACCGGCATGCACGTGCCTGTCCCCATCCAGCAAATCTGGACTTCATCCAGTCAAAACAAACATAAAACAGATCATCAATCACACAGAACTTTTATGGCCAGGAAGTAGTGCGACCTGTTTTTGATAGCTTGTTGTTGAGTGCAGGAGCAAGCCAGCTCTTGTAGGTTAGTTCCTGAATCCAGCACAACTGCCACTCTTCCTTTTGTTCAAGAGCCAATTTTTTTTTTTTTTTTTTTAAATGCAGAAGCTTCAAAGACATTTGTTAACTAAATCAAAAAGCCCATGCTTGTCTGAACCCCCCTCCCCCACACACACACACACACACACACACACACACACACACACACACACACACACACACACACACACACACACACACACACACACACACCCTGTAAG